CACTTTTTATGAAATGTGAGTACTTTTTTCACATATATATATACAAATACGAAGGTTATCGAGTGGTTATTGATCACGTGTCTATGGTTTGATATTTTGAAGTTGATTTCTCATTTGTGATGAGATCAATTCAGGTATATCATAATAAATCAATGGGCACATATTTTCCAATTCTGAATAAGTCTTTACAACGGACTTCTTCAACATTTTTACCGTTAATCTGCGAGCCCATCTTGAAAGTTGAATATTATAAAACAATAAATTGAATTACATAGGTTCACTCTTCAATATTTAATATAATTAGAGTAGAGTAATATCAGCAATATATCAGATAAGTGATAAAAACATGATTGTACTGAATTCATTTTTGTAAGATCAACTCACCAATGACATACTCCAAGATAAGATTCCATCCTATTACAAATGCTACGAATTCACCGACACAAACATAACTGTAAATATAAGCAGATCCTGCTTTCGGAGCTCGAGCACCAAATTCCGCATAGCACAAACCTTAAAACAAATCGAATTTATTAGTTATCAAGTATACCTATCATATTTCAATTTCAGTTTAAAAAGTAGGTATACCTACTAGACACATTAGATGAAGTGAATTTAATAAACAAGGAAGTATTCATCAAAATAATTGTTCAGAAATTAAACGCAACTTGAATCCAATGTTTCACAGAACTATCCATTCAACATGATTACTTGTTGAAATTTTTCAAAAATTTCTGTGGAAATCACTCCCAAATATAAAAATCAAGGTGATCATATTTATAATAAAAATTAATTCATTTCGATTTTACTCATTCTTCAACATAAAAATGAAGTTTATTGAAAATCAATTATTGTTTATTATTAAATCAAGAAAATATGAAATTATCATATATCCAAATCTGAAAAAAATCAATGTAAGTTTGAGAAACAAGTTATTTCAGGGTTTTGAAATATGAAGTGATGGCAAAAAACTATACTCTGGACATCCTTTCTGAGTATGGCGATTATGATATAACATATGTACCAGAAGTTTACGTTTCATCATACATATTTGAGATAGAAACAATAATTGTTTTATAAGTTTTCAACTAAAGAGGTTTACTGATTAGATCATTCCTTCGATTGCAGGAAAACTCATGAAGGATGTGCCAATGTAATTTCCCAAAAGTTCATTTTCCATCGGTGTGAAAGTACTATTCACATCAAGTCCCCATGCGGCCTAGATGTCTGCTGTTTTCCGATAAGTCGGCATGATCTTGAGGTTTCACTATAACCCGAACAATTTGAATAAACAGAGAAGATCCGCCCATTTCCTTTGATTTGCTAACTCTCCAATATCTGAACAATTATATGAATTGCAAATCTAATTGATAGTTTAAAAAAATTCTCCCAAATCTTTCATATAGAAGTCATTTGACAATTTTCAATTTCCATTTCATTATCACCTACTACGATAATATCACGCATATATAAAATTATAAACGTTTTCGTATATACGGTTACATATGAATACAAACACTTGAAGCCCTTTCAAAATGAATTTATCAAATCTAGAATATCAGGTTCTCAATACTTGATTGAACTCATATAAAGACTTTCAATGTAGGTACCAGGTTTGTGTTATATACAATTCCTTCTAATTGCTGCATATATATAGCTTATTATTAACGCATTTTTAACGTCCATTTAATACGCAAGAGGATCATCTTTATTTATTATTTAGCAGGGAGTCAAACATTTTCAAAACGAGCTAATGGACATAGGTTTTATATAATCATAGCCTTTCCTCTGACAATAATCTTTCGCTACTAGTCTTGCTTTATATTTCTCGATATTTCCATCTGTATCTCTTTTACTTTAAAGATCAATCATTTTGATGTCGCACGATTTCCATAGGGTCAATCAAAAATATCCCGAGTTTTATTGGGCTCTTAATTTAATTTCTTCTTCGATTACTGTGTACTATTCAAGTACAGGAAGTTTAGAGTTTGACCTATTTCAATTTTAATATTGTTAATTTCAATAAACTGAACATTAATCTCTAGAGATGAATAAAAATATGACGTTTCTTTTTCTTAATGTTTCATAACTATTTTACATGTTCTATATAATTACAACTCAATGTTCCTTGAACGTGATTTGCAAAACTGTTGAACTCTTTTCGATAACAATTTTCAATACTGATGAAAATAACTGTACTGTACTCTTGAGCAAAATTTATATTTTTCGACAAATCCCTTATATGACTGAAAGAATTTGATTACCGATGATAACATTTCAGGTTTTGTTCCTTGCACAACTTTTTATGAAAAATATTTTCTTGTCACCCAAACAGATTTCGAGAAAAAAAAGTTCAAACAATCAGACTCATTTTTTAAAACACCTTGTAGAATTGGAACCAGATGATGTGCGTTCATGAAAATAACAGAACTCTTGAATCTTGAGTAGATCAACATAGCAAAAACCTTTTTTCTGTCACACATACACATTTTCTCATAAAATACACCTCACGATTTGATCTCCATAAACAAAGTTTGTGGAGATCAGGAGATCAAATCTTGAGGTGTAGTTTATGAAATTACTATGGATCTTCATCAAGTAACGGTCGAATCAATCAGAAAAAAAAAACAGACATACAGATTCTGAGAATAAAATTGTTGAAACGATCAGACTAACTTTTTAAAACGCCTTATAGAATTGGAAACAGATGATGTGCGTGCATAAAATTCGAACAAGTCTTATGGAATCTTGAGTAGATTGACGTAGTGATAACAGTTTTCTTTTTCGAAAAAAAAAATTGAAATAATCTGACTCATTTTTTGAGACTCCTTGTAGAATTGGAAACAGATGATGTGCGTGCATAAAATTCGAACAAGTCTTATGGAATCTTGAGTAGATTGACGTAGTGATAACAGTTTTCTTGTCACTCGGATATTTCGAAAAAAAAAATTGAAATAATCTGACTCATTTTTTGAGACTCCTTGTAGAATTGGAACCAGATAATGTACGCCCATGAAAATCACATAACTCTTATTGAATCTTGAGTAGATTAACGTAATGCGAACTGTTTTCTTGTCACCGATACAGATTCCTGAAAAAAAATATACAGATTTCGAAAAAATGATTTTTCAAAACGTCATACGAATGAGTAATAATATTGCTTCTCTTCCAGTTTGAAGGTATCGTGACAAATTGAAGAATTAACTGTCTTGAACAAATTTATTTCCAATAATATTTCACTAATTACAAAATAATTTATTTACAACACTTAGCAACTAATGCTTAATTTATTTCCACTATTTGAATTTCCTGTTTAGCCGCTCTCTTAACTTTTGAACTGCCCTCTTGGGTCGGGAAGCTGGGCTTATATAATGTAACGGTTCTTTCTAGAAATACATATGTAGTCGGTTCGGTACTCAACTAGAGTTTTACCGGCGGTGTCCGACTGCATTCTTTCGCGGTGATGTCATGTGTTTGCTACAGGATTCGGCCGGCATGCTGGTCAGGGGCGGCTTCAGATTCGTTACAGTAGTCTCGAAATCTGTTATTTGTATATTTATAATTTCATAAAGTGAATTGGGGTTAGGAATCATCTTGTTCCAATTCTACAAGGAATCTCAAAAAATGAGTCTGATTGTTTTAACATATTTTCTTCCGAAATCTGTTTGGGTGACAAGAAAACTATTATCACAACATCAATCTACTCAAGATTCCATAAGTATTGTTCGATTTTCAATGCACGCAGATCATCTGGTTCCAATTCTACAAGGGGTTTCAAAAATTTGGTCTGATTGTTGCAACAATTAATTTTCTCAAAATCTGTAGGGGTGACAAGAACACTATTCTCGCTATGTGAATCTCCCCAAGATTTTATAACAGTTCTGTTATTTTCATGAATGCACATCATCTGGTTCTAATTCTACAAGGAATCTCAAAAATTGAGTCTGATTGTTTCAACAATTTTTTTAGAAATCTGTTTGGGTGAGAAGAAAACCTGTTATCACTATGTTGATCTACCCAAGATTCTATAACAGTTGTGTAATTTTCATGAACGCACATCTTCTGGTTCCAATTCTACAAGGAATCTCAAAAAATGAGTCTGATTGTTTCAACATTTTTGTTTTCGAAATCTGTTCGGGTGACAAGAAAATTGTTATCACTACGTCAATCTACCCAAGATTCCATAAGACTCATGCGATTTTTATGCACGCCCATCATCTGTATCTAATTCTACAAAGGGTTCAAAAAAGTTAGTCTGATCGTTTGAACAATTTCATTCTCGAAATCTGTATGGGTGACAAGAAAACAGTTTTCACTATATCGATCTACCCAAAATTCTATAAGAGTTGTGTAATTTTCATGAACGCACATCGTCTGGTTTCAATTCTACAAGGTGTTTTAAAAAGTGAGTCTGATTAATTCAATATATTTTCCTGGAAATCTGTATGGGTGACAAGAGAACGGTTTTCACTTTATCGATCTACCCAAGATTCTACAAGAGTTGTGTTATTTCCATGAACGCACATCTTCTGGTACCAATTCTACAAGGAATATCAAAAAATGAGTGTGATTGTTGCAACAATTTTTTTATCGAAATCTGTATAGGTGACAGAAAAACAGTTTTCACTTTATCAATCTTCCTAAGATTTTATAAGAGTTGTGTGATTTTCATGAACGCCCATCTCCCGGTTCCAATTCTACAAGGTGTTTTAAAAAGTGAGTCTGATTGTTGCAACAATTTTTTTATCGAAATATGTATGAGTGACAAGAAAACGGTTTTCACTATATCAATCTACCCAAAATTCTATAAGAGTTGTGTAATTTCCATGAACGCATATCTTCCGATTCCAATTCTACAAGGTGTTTTAAAAAGTGAGTCTGTTTATTTCAATATTTTTCCTGGAAATTTGTATGGGTGACAAGAAAACGGTTTTCACTATATCGATCTACCCAAGATTCTATAAGAGTTGTGTAGTTTTCATGAACGCACATCATCTGGTTCCAGTTCAACAAGAAATCTCAAAAAATGAGTCTGATTGTTTCAACAGTGTTATTCTCAAAATCTGTTTGGTTGACAAAAAAATTTTATCACTACATCAATCTATTCAAGATTCCATAAGACTTGTTCGATTTTTATGTACGCACATTATCTGGTTCCAATTCTAGAAGGGGTTTTAAAAAGTTAGTCTGATTGTTTCAACAATTTTATTCTCAAAATCTGTATGTGTGACAAAAAAACGGTTCCCACTACGTCAATCTACCCAAGATTCTATAAGAGTTGTGTAATTTTCATGAACGCAGATCATCTGATTCTAATTCTACAAGGAATCTCAAAAAACGAGTCTGACTGTTTCGACATTTTTTCCCGGAAATCTGTATGGGTGACAAGAAAACTGTTATCACTACGTCAATCTACCCGAGGTTCCATAAGACTTTTTCTATTTTTATGCACGCACATCATCTGGTTCCAATTTTACAGGGGGTTTTAAAAAGTTTGTCTGATTGTTTCAACA